AATCAACCTCACAGCAATCACCAAAAAATTCAAAATCATTTTATTCAAATCAAGAAACTGCATCAAAAACTATTTCTTGCCCGCTATGTTCAGAAAGTCATTACATTTACTTTTGTGCAAAATTCAAAAATATTGCACCAAAGATTCGTTACGAAGAAGCAAAAAGGTTGCACCTATGCACAAATTGCCTTCGAAAAGGCCATAAATATTCCGAATGCAACTCGCAAGGTTGTCGCATCTGCCACAAACGACATAATACTTTATTACATGTTCCAAACCCATCATTGAATACAAATCAACCATCGGGAAATGTTATCAATAAATCCAGTTCCAACATGTTGCAGAATGTTGGCAATAATGGCAATAATGATTCGACTAGCCCACAAAATGAAAATATCGCAAATAATGTCACTCTTAATCATTATGCCCAAAAATCACGAAATTTTTATGTGTTACTATCCACAGCTGTAGTAAATATCAGCACGTCTGAGGAAAATACTCCTATTCTAGCTCGTGTTTTACTGGATAGTGGCTCACAGTCCAATTTTATTTCTAGCTCTTTAGTTGAAAGGTTGAAACTACCTACATACAAAACCAATATACCTATTTGTGGCATAAATCAAACTAAAACCAATATATCCGAGCAAACACAAATTTGTATATCATCAAGATATAATGATTTCAAAATTAAAATACCGTGTCTGATAATTGATAAAATAACCGATTTTTCACCTCAGGAAAGTTTTGATATTTCAGAACTAAACATTCCAGATTTGCCTTTGGCGGATCCAGATTTCAACGTTGCATCAAGCGTTGATATTCTGATTGGTTGTTCCTTATTTTTTGACTTATTATCTACAGACCAGAGAAAACTCGGAAAAAATTTACCTATTCTTCAAAACAGCCAGTTAGGTTGAATTATTGCAGGCAATGTACCTAAATTTCGCCAGCAATTTAAATATTTTTTTATTCACACAACTGAATCCGAATTAAATACTCAATTGGAAAAATTTTGGACAATCGAGGAAGTCCCTGAATGCAAAGATAGTATTTTAACTCTTGAGGAAATAGAATGTGAAAAGCATTTTATTGAGAATTTTTCTCGTAATCACGATGGCCGATTTGTGGTTAAACTGCCGTTGAAGAACAATTATTTACAGATAGGTGAATCCGAAAATCAAGCTTTGAAGAGGCTGTATGCTTTAGAGCAGCGACTTTCGAAAAACAACCACTTAAGAATTGAATATAATAACTTTTTATCAGAATGCCACGAACTTTCTCACATGAAGGAAATTTCGAGCGAATTCAGGCCTCCCACGCCCATCTATTATTTACCACACCACTGCGTTTTAAAACCAGATAGTTTAACAACAAAGGTTCGCGTTGTTTTTAACGCTTCTGCCAAAACGTCAACAAATTTGTCACTAAATGATGTTTTGATGGATCGTCAAATTTTAATACATCCGGATCAAGTTGATATGCAAAGAATAGTTTGGAGAGAAAATCCTAATCAGAAAGTGAAACATTTTGCTTTACAAACCCTCACGTACGGAACCAAATCCGCATCTTATATTGCCACCCGTTGTTTGAAACAAATTTCAATCGAAAACACCAATATGTTTGCGCGTGAAAGTGAGATAATACAGAAAGACATGTATATGGACGATCTTCTAACAGGATGTTCCAATATTGATGACATGATTAATATCCGTGTTAAATCTTTCAAAATTATTTTCGAATTATGGATTTGAAATAAAAAAATTTCAATCCAACGACCCTGCAGTTCTTCAAAGTTTAAATCAAGTTAGTGATTCTCAGTACGTAATAATGGATAACAATTCTACAAAAACATTAGGCATTTCTTGGAAACCGTCATCTGACAGCTTTCAATATAAAGGAGAAGAATTTGTTGGTGGTACTCAAACAATAACCAAAAGAACTATTCTCTCGTTCATTGCCAAAATTTTCGACCCTTTAGGTCTCTTAGGACCTATTTTAATTCGCGCCAAATTAGTGATGCAATCTTTGTGGCAACTTCATCTTGACTGGGATGAAGACGTTCCAGTTGATATTTACAAACATTGGCTCAATCTGCAAACCCAAATGTCAGAAACTAACGCAATTCAAATTCCCCGACACGTCCTTATCAGTTTTCCGATCATAATTCAGATTCATGCTTTTTCTGACGCCAGTGAAAAGTCTTACGCATGCTCAATATATTTACGTTCTGTTGATGAAAATGGAAATATCCAATGTCACTTACTCTGTGCAAAGTCTAGAGTAGCGCCATTGAAATCTCTTTGTTTACATCGTTTAGAGTTATGCGGAGCTCTTTTATTATCTCGTCTCGTATCCAAATGTATAGAAGTTTTGGATATCCATATTGATAATATATTTTATTACACCGATTCTACAATAGTTTTGTCCTGGTTAGCAAGCGAGCCGAGGTTATGGAAAACATTCGTGGCTAATCGTGTGTCTAAAATCAGACAAAAAACTAATATAAATCATCCTGCCGATATTCTATCCCGCGGTGCAAATTTAAAGGATTTAATTGAATCTTTTTTGTGATGGCACGGTCCAGAGTTTTTGTCCAAAGATCCTGAGCACTGGCCAAAACAAAGTCATATTTCCAATTTCTCTCGAGACCCAGAAAGAATATTGGAATTTAAAACCCAACGTCCTGTATGTTTGAATACTATTAACTTCCACGATTTCGATATATTTGAAAGGTATTCTATACAGCTGTTGATTTTGCTGGTCCTTTTGAATTAAAAGATGGCAAAACGAAAAATAGAAAAATAATTAAAGGATATGTTTGTATTTTTGTTTGTCTTAGCACTAAGGCGGTGCATATAGAATTGATAACTGATTTAACCAGTGAAGGTTTTCTAAGTATGCTTAAACGTTTTGTGTCCAGACGTGGAATATGTTCCGACTTATATTCAGATAATGGTACTAATTTTATAGGAGCCCACAACGAGCTCAAGTCTATTACCAATTTTACCGAAATTGCTGCTTTTCAACATTACTTGAGTATTTCCCAAATTAAATGGCATTTTATTCCTGCTCGTTCTCCTCACTTTGGCGGATTGTGGTAAGCTGCTGTAAAGTCATGCAAGCACCATTTAAAGCGCATTCTCAATAAGAATTTGTTAACTTATGAAGAGTTTTATTCAATTTTAAATCAAGTGGAAGCAGTTCTCAATTCACGACCTTTAGTCCCAGTCTCAACGATTCCTGCTGACCTCGAAGTTTTGACCCCTGCACATTTCTTAATTGGTCGCCAATTGACAGCTGTGCCACAACGTGATCTGTCCTCTGACAAAATCAACTACGTTAAGAGGTATCAACATATGCAGCAAATGTTTCAAAGTTTTTGGTCTCGCTGGGTTAAAGAGTACCTTCACACTCTGCAGCAGCGAACCAAATAGCAGTTCCAGAAGAATCCTCAGATGACTGTTGGCTCTATAGTGCTATTGAAAGAGGATAACATACCCCCTTTGTATTGGCCTTGGGCACGTACACGATGTTTGAAGTGCACAAAACTTCACGGCTTCTAGAAAACCAATAAGGAAATATTTTATCTAGGAAATTATTTTTAAAACAATTAATGTCACAATTTTACAGACCGATTGAGGGTTTGAATTCTCAGAAAACTAAAAATCATGCATTATTCCTTAGAATTGTTATATTTGCATGACTGAACGTTTTCGAAGCAAAATACAGAAATCGTACTTACAGGGAGTGGAATAAAGGCTCGGATTATTCGAGTCGGATTTAGATCCGGTCCGTCGATTTTACGATGAGGAAAACTAGCGTGAAAACAGCTTTTACCCTTAGCGAACGAGTGAAGTTGTTTTGTTTGGATTATTCATGTTTTTTTATGGGAAAGGTGCGCTCTTTCCAGCTTGAAATTTACCATGTTGTATAAGTAATTATTAATGGATTTTGAGAATACAGTCTTTCATATTTCAAAGTTTTTCTGGAAAACTAATAAAGGAAAATTTTGTAAAAAGGAAACTCGGGAACTCATCCTCTCAAAATTTCAAATCTTTCTAGTGAAAAATAACAACAAGAAAAATAGTAAAAAAGTTTTTTCAAATTTTGAAACTGTTGAAAGGGGTCTCAAGAGCACATTCTTCCAGAATTTCAAACTTTTTCAATGGAAAATAACAGCATGAAGAATTTTGAAAATCAACTTCTAAAAAACTGAATTAATTGAAAATACAGTCTCTCACATTTCAAAGTGTTTCTAGAAAATTGATAGAGGGAAAATTTTGAAACTTTTACTGTAAAAAGAGAAAAATTGGAATTTCATTCTTCCAAAATTTCGATTCCTAACAATGCAAAACAACCACATGGAAAACTCTTATATCAATTTACAAAAACTCAATAAAAAATAATAAAACTGTGAATATTCTGTTTCTGAATCCCAAAATAGTGATAATACGACAACACAACACAAATGGGATGTGAAACAATATTTTTATCGCGCCTCTAAATCAACCAAATCGGGCGTTGAAAACTTTTTAATTAGAAAAGTTACCATTGCAAGCCATTTTAGAATTCAAGTCCTGAATCACTTTTATTACGGGAACAATTATTATTATTATGAAAAAAACCCTGTGAAATGTATTACGGACGATTAAACAAGAAACTCAAATAAATTTGACTGGGACTTTTTCACATTTAAAATGATATTTTATTGTTGTCCAATTATCAGGCTGATTTTGAAAAAGAACTCAAAGAAATTTTATGTTTTTTTAAAGGCCCATATTATTCAATTCAATTTTCCAGCAATATCATTTCAGCAGATTCATATACAATCTAATGGAAATATCATCAATATTTTTCCATTTTAGTTTTGTAAATAGAATTCGATATTCAATCATTCGGATAAATATTAAATTACATATACATCCACTATAATATTTGGACTCGATTTCGGTTTAAAAATGTCCCTTTGTAGTTCAATATTTTATCGAATTCGTATTGTTTGTTTATAAGGAAATATAAAATAGTAGGAAAAAGACTGAGGAATAATTATTGCATATAGAAAACTAATGTTTCTTGTGAATTAGTAACTTTACTAAAGAAGTGTTCTATTATTTTAATAAATAAACTTTTAAAAAACATACACGAGTTGATTACGTGGTATAGATAAAACAAGGTATAATCATTATTAAAACATCTAGCTGGCATATGAAATTAGTACTTCAAATCTTAAAAAACAGATAACTTTTTACCATCTTGAGTGTTTTACTGTGTATAAAAAGGTTTGTCATGAAATATATTGAATCATTATTGTAGTATTATACAAGTAAAAGCCACAATGTTTAAACTAGCAATTATTTTGTGTTTTGCTTTTATAGCTTATGCAGTGGGGGATGTTCATTTTATCGACGACTGCTTATCACCCGGAAAACCGTAAGTTGGTTGATCAAATCCTAGCTAATGAATCCTGAAAGTTTGAAATCGATCTGATATTCTGAAGTATTTTTTAGTGTTTTTCAAATGTGATTTAATGTAAATTTTGCATCTTTTTCTGGTATTAAATTAGAAAGAACCTCAAAATTTCAATTGTGAACTTCAGATGGACTTTAAATTTGTCTTGTTTGATGAAAATATCCTGGTTAATGGATCCCAAAAGTTTGATATTGATTTGATACTCCGAAGTATTTTTTAGAATTTTTCAAAGGTGATTCAAGGTGAATTTTCCAACTTTTTCTGGTATTAAGTTGGGAAAAACCTCATAATTTTATTTCTGACCTTCAGATTGACTTCAAATTTGCCTTGTTTGATGAAAACATCCTGGTCAATGAATCCTGAAAATTTGAAATTGATCTGATACTCTGAAGTGTTTTTCAGAATTTTTCAAAAGTGATTTAATATGAATTTTCCAACTTTTTCTAGTATTAAGTTGGAAAACACCTCATAACTTTTTTTCTAAGCTTCAGATTGACTTCAAATTTGCCTTGTTTGATGAAAACATCCTGGTTGATGAATTTTGTAAATTTGGAATCGATCTGACACTCCGAAGTATTTTTCAGAATTTTTCAAAGGTGATTTGATGCGAATTTTCCACTTTTTCTGGTATTAAGTTGAAAAAAACCTCATAGTTTTATTTCTGAGCTTCAAATTGACTTCAAATTTATCTTGTTTGATGAAAACATCCCAGTTAATAAATCCTGAAATTTTGGAATTAATCTGATACTCCGAAGTATTTTTCAGGATTTTTTAAAGTTGATTTGATGTGAATTTTCGAACTTTTTCTGATATTAAGTAGGAAACAACCCCATAATTCTATTTGTGAGCTTCAGATCGACTTCTAATTGGTCTTGTTTCGTCAAAATATCTTGGTTAATAAATCCTGAAAGTTTGGAATCGATTTAATTCTCCGAAATATATTTCAGGATTTTTCAAAGTTGATTTAATGTGAATTTTCCAACCTTTTCTGATATTAGGTTCAAAAAAACCTCATATTTCTATTTCTGAGCTTCAGATTGACTTCAAATTTGTCTTGTATGATGAAAACATCCTGGTTAATAAATCCTGAAATTTTAAAGTCGATCTGATACTGGAAGGTATTTTTTAGAATTTTTCAAATGTGATTTAATGTGAATTTCTCAACTTTTTCTGATATTAAGTTGGAAAATAACTCATAATTTTATTTCTGGGCTTCAGATTGACTTCAAATTTGCCTTGTTTAGTGAAAATATCCTGGTTAATGAATCCTAAAAGTTTGAAATCGATCTGATTCCCAGAAGTATTTTTCAGGATTTTTCAAAGGTGATTTAATACGAATTTTCCAACTTTTTTTGTTATCAAGTTGGAAAAAACCTCATAACTTTATTTCTGAACGTCAGATTGACTTCAAATTTGCCTTGTTTGATGAAAACATTCTGATTGATGAATCTTGAAAATTTGGAAACGATCTGAGGCTCTGAAGTATTTTTCAGAATTTTTCAGGGATGATTTGATGCGAATTTTCCACTTTTTCTGGTATCAAGTTGGAAAAAACCTCATCATTTCATTTCTGAGCTTCAGATTAACTTCAAGTTTATCTTGTTTGACGGAAACATCCTGGTTAATGAATCCTGAAAGTTTGAAATCAATCTGATACCCCGAAGTATTTTTCAGGATTTTCAAAGGTGATTTAATGTGAATTTTTCAATTTTTTCTGGTATTAAGTTGGAAAAAACCTCATCATTTCATTTCTGAGCTTTAGATTAACTTCAAGTTCACCTTCTTTGATGAAAACATCCTAGTTAATGAATCCTAAACGTTTGAAATCGATCTGATACTCTGAAGTATTTTTCAGGATTTTTCAAAAGTGATTTAATGTGGATTTTTCAACTTTTCTGGCATCCAGTTGGAAAAAACCCCTGTCATTTCATTTCTGAGTTTCAGATTAACTTAAAATTTACCTCGTTTGATGAAAACATCCAGGTTAATAAATCCTGAAAGTTTGAAATCGATCTGATACTCGGAACTATTTTTCCGAATTTATCAAAGGTGATTTAATGGGAATTTTCCAACTTTTTTTGGTATTAAGTTGGAAAAAAACCTCATAATTTCATTTTTGAGCTTCAGATTAACTTTAAATTTGCCTTGTTTGATGACAACATCCTGGTTAATGAATCCTGAAAGTTTGAAATCGATCTGATACCCCGAAGTATTTTTCAGGATTTTTCAAAAGTGATTTAATGTGGATTTTTCAACTTTTCCTGGTATCAAGTTGAAAAAAACCCGGTCATTTCATTTCTGAGTTTCAGATTAACTTCAAATTTGCCTTGTTTGATGGAAACATTCTGGTTAATGATCCTGAAAGTTTGAAATCGATCTGATACTTCTAAGTATTTTTCAGAATTTTTCAAAAGTGATTTAATGTCAATTTTTCAACTTTTTGTGGTATCGAGTTGGAAAAAACCCTGTCATTTCATTTCTGAGTTTCAGATTAACTTCAAATTTGCCTTGTTTGATCAAAACATTCTGGTTAATGAATCCTGAAAGTTTAAAATCGATCTGATACCCCGAAGTATTTTTCAGGATTTTTCAAAGGTGATTTAATGTGAATTTTTCAATTTTTTCTGGTATTAAGTTGGAAAAAACCTCATCATTTCATTTCTGAGCTTCAGATTAACTTCAAGTTTGCCTTGTTTGATGGAAACATCCTGGTTGATGAATCCTGAAAGTTTGGAATCGATCTGATACTCTGAAGTATTTTTCAGGATTTTTCAAAAGTGATTTAATGTGGATTTTTCAACTTTTCCTGGTATCAAGTTGGAAAAAACCCCTGTCATTTCATTTCTGAGTTTCAGATTAACTTAAAATTCACCTTGTTTGATGAAAACATGCAGGTTAATGAATCCTGAAAAGTTGGAATCGATCTGATACTCGGAACTATTTTTCCGAATTTATCAAAAGTGATTTAATGAGAATTTTCCAACTTTTTTTCGTATTAAGTTCGAAAAAAAAACCTCATAATTTCATTTCTGAGCTTCAGATTAACTTCAAATTTGCCTTGTTTGATGGAAACATCCTGGTTAATGAATCCTGAAAGTTTGAAATCGATCTGATATCCCGAAGTATTTTTCAGGATTTTTCAAAGGTAATTTAATGTGAATTTTTCAATTTTTTCTGGTATTAAGTTGGAAAAAACCTCATCATTTTATTTCTGAGCTTCAGATTAACTTCAAGTTTGCTTTGTTTGATGGAAACATCCTGGTTGATAAATCCTGAAAGTTTGAAATCGATCTGATACCCTGAAGTATTTTTCAGGATTTTTCAAAAGTGATTTAATGTGGATTTTTCAACTTTTCCTGATATCAAGTTGGAAAAAAAACCCTGTCATTTAATTTCTGAGTTTCAGATTAATTTCAAATTTACCTTGTTTGATGAAAACATCCTGGTTAATGAATCCTGAAAGTTTGAAATCGATCTGATACTCGGAACTATTTTTTAGAATTTATCAAAGGTGATTTAATGGGAATTTTCCAACTTTTTTTGGTATTAAGTTGGAAAAAAACCTCATAATTTCATTTCTGAGCTTCAGATTAACTTCAAATTTGCCTTGTTTGATGAACACATCCTGGTTAATGAATCCTGGAAGTTTGAAATCGATCTGATATTCTGAAGTATTTTTCAGGATTTTTCAAATGTGATTTAATGCGAATTTTCCAACTTTTTCTAGTATTAAGTTGGAAAAAACATCATAATTCTATTTCTGAGCTTGAGATTGACTTCAAATTCAACTTGTTTGATGAAAACATCCTGGTTAATGAATCCTGAAAGTTTGAAATCGATCTGACACTGCGAAGTATTTTTCAGGATTTTTCAAAGGTGATTTAATGTGAATTTTCCAACTTTTTCTAATATTAAGTTAGAAAAAGCGCAGAATTTTATTTCTGAGCTTCAGATTGACTTCAAATTTGCCTTGTTTGATGAAAACATTCTGGTTAATGAATCCTAAAAGTTTGGAATCGATCTGATACTCCAAAGTATTTTACAGGATTTTTTAAAGGTGACTTAATGTGAATTTTTTCAACTTTTTTTGGTATTAGGTAGGAAAAAACCTCATTATTTTATTTCTGAGCTTCAGATTGACATCAAATTTGCCTTGTTTGCTGAAAACATTCTCGTTAATGAATCCTGAGAGTTTAGAATCGATCTGATACTCTGAAGTATTTTTCAAGATTTTTCATAGGGAATTTGATGTGAATTATCTAACTTTTTCTGGTATTAAGTTGGGAAAAACCTCATAATTTGATTTCTGAGCTTCATATTGACTTCAAACTTGCCTTGTTTGATGAAAACGTTTTGGTTAATGAATCCTGAAAGTTTGATATTGATCTGATACTCCGAAGTATTTTTCAGGATTTTTCAAATGTGATTTAATGTGAATTTTTCAACTTTTTCTGGTAGGTATTAAGTTGGAAAAAACCTCATAATTTTATTTCTGAGCTTCAGATTCACTTCAAATTTGCCTTGTTTTATGAAAACATCCTGGTTAATGAATCCTTAAAGTTTCAAATGGATCTGATACTCTGGAAGTATTATCCAGGATATCTCAATCCTGAATAAATATGAGTTGTTTGGTATCAAGTTGGGAAAAACTTCATCATTTTATTAATATCCTGGTATCCTGAAAACTTTCGAGTTAAAAATTTCAATTTAGAGATTTTGCAACTCGATTTGATGAAATTCACAACTTTCTCTCTATAGAAGATACTCAAGATTTCAAAACTTTTCCTTGTTTATAGCGTTATCCTATACAATCAAGAAGTAACCAAGACCGGCCATTTTTTGCAAATTCAAGAAGAAAATCTTAGAGTTCCACTTGTTGGTTTTGCTCCCAAAAACATCAGTTGCATTACGGTAAGTAGAAGAAAAATCCTCCATAGCAAAAAATAATAATTGTTTTTCAATTGTAGGTAGTTAACCAAATGAGTGATATAAACGGTGGATTTCCATACATTAAATCAGGCGGAGTCGGTTACACTTACGTAGACCTTTATCTGAAATCTCAAAAAAATAAAGGTTTCGATTTTAGGGTAACAGTTTACTACGATGATTCTTCTTAAAACTGTTTCATTTCAATTGTGTGCAAATAATAAATGATGCTATGACAAATTATTAGTTTTATTGGATAATTCATACAAAACCAATAATGGAATAATACTTACTTATTCTAGAAAAAAATAACAGAGCAATCATTAAATCAATAATCTAGATAACAGATGTTATTAGAATACAATACTAGATCAAGTAAATACTTGTACTTTTTTTTTCAAAATTCAATGATATAAAATCTTCAGCGCAATAATTTTTGTGATCAATATTGCCTTGAAATTCAACCACAATGTTTAAAACAGCACTTTACCTTTTTGCTTTAGCACTAATTGTTAAAGCCGATGAACATTTCATTGACGATTGTCTTAATTCTGGTAAAAATCCGTAAGTATTAAAATTAGTTTTTATATCTATTTTATAAAGTAAAATTTCAGTATTGTTCTCTATAATCAAGAAGTAAGTAAAGATGGCCACATTTTCCAAATTCAAGAGCAAAACATTAGGATTCCATTGACTGGTTTTTCTGAGAGCCCAATCACATGTATTACTGTAAGCATTTATTTGAGGTTTTGAATATTTGAATTTTCTTTTATTGAAATTTATATAGGTTGTCAACTTACTAAGTGACCTTGACGGTGGTTACCCTTACATAAAAGCAGGTGGAGTCAATTATACATACGTCGATCTCTATTTGAAATCCCAAAAACGCAAAGGATTTGATTTTAGAATTACTGTCTACTATGATAAATCCCAAAATAGTAATGTTAGCTATGTATAAAATAAATATTTTTTAAACTAATTTGTTTTCTTGTCCAATAAATACAAACGCAATTCAATATAAATATTTCCGAGACACATATGAAAATACCGTAAGGTGTTTTGGGGTAGCGATATATCTCATGTGACGTTGAAAACAGAAAGAACGGCTTTGGTGTGAAAAATGAGCCCAAGGGAAAACAAATTTATGTTTTAGGTGGCAATGGCCTTTTGTTCGATAGCAGCCTAAACGTAATTATTAAACCTCTTTGTGTTTTTCCGAGCTTTCGCTTCTGTGTGCCTACCTGGCTCTGTCATTGTTCCAGCGCTAACTTCGTTAGTAGGAAAATAATTTCCCGTCATTCTTTTTTTTTGCTTTCAGCTTCATCTGCAGCCTGGTTCGAGGTACAAACTTAACTTTTAGGCTTTTAAAATTCAATCGTTGTTTGGAGCAAAATTTGGTTGAGGTTTCACAACATTTTTGCTCAATTTCTCAAAAAACTTCATTTACCCTTTCCAGAGATGAGTTTGCAAACTCTTGATCTTCATCGCTTTCCTTTTTTGCGTATCAGTTTTAGTATCTTCATTAATGAATTCTTCAATTTTGTTAAAAGTAGAAAAAAAACTTCCAAAACCTAATTTAGGCAAAATCCACCCTTGGATATATTTACTAATAAAAGCTGTAGGTGTGGGCTTAAATATAATCAAACACCCTGTACAATACAATATAATCTAATTTTTTTGGGGTTGCAAGTTCTAAGAAACATACAAGGAAACCCCGTACATACAGAAGACGAAAACCGCAACGTTAGTGAAAAGCAAACAGAGGAAATTCTGTTATGCCTTGATAAATTGCAAGCCCACCAGCCAGACTTTGAATATTTAGTCGGGCCCGGAATATTAGGCATAGCTCAGCAAACAAGGACCGATAAGACTTCTTCAAAAACTTTACTTAGTAACTTTCAGATAATTAGATTTATATTTTGCACCTTCTCAAGAAGAAATTCTTATTTTATACGCACGGCTAAATATTCCGAGGGCGGCAAGAAGGAATGCAATTTATCAAGACAGAAGGGAAATTCCGTTTTCGTCATTTGCCACCGTCTTGTTTGTTTCCGACAAGAGAATTAAAATTTGCGAAAGTTCAGGGAGAATTTATTTTGTTCTGTTTACTCGAGGAAGTTGCAACGGAGTGCTAATATTTACTTTTACGGGATGATTTTATACAAAGAAATGTCAATAATTTCTCACAAACTTTCCAACATCAAGTGCTTAATATGAAATTTTCAAAGTGATATTAATTTAAAAGAAAAAATTAACCCTGGGTGAAGAGCATGGAAAAAGATCAAAGTCTGAAATTTCAGTTAATTGGATTTTTATTTTTAAAGTAGCTATTTGCTAATTTTACTCAATTAAAAGTTGAAATTCAATTACTCTTCAGAAAGCTAAGCGCAACATAATTTTGAATTTTAATTTGTTGAATTTTTAAATAGAGACCAACATAACGAAAGAATCCAATTCAAGACATAAATGGCATTTATAGAGTTTGGGGATTTTTGTGAGGCGAGGAAAACACATAATAGAGCTTAGAATAAGCCGTATAGAGCCAAATACCTCTATACATTTTCCAGGACGAAACAGTGATAAAAAAATTAATTTATTGAGCTAGAAAATTGGAGTTTATTGTTGTTGTATGAAAAAATTGTGGTAAATTACATTAACTTGAAGCTAGAGTGAAGGGTAAGAAAAAAATAAATGTAGTCAGTGGTATATTTTTCAAAACTTACCTCTAATAAATAAAAACCCAGAGCGACAAATAAAATTTCTGCTTGAAAAGTACTTTTTACAAGTGCCAGCGAAGCCAGAAAGGCATTTTTATTAATAACTTTCAGGGAAAAATTACAACTTCCAACTTTTCACTAAGCAATATAAATGTTTCTGGGGTGAAAAACTTAGAAAAAATGCAATGTAATTTTGCATCGGAGTTCTTTTAAAACCCTCTCCTTCAATTACAAACCGAGGCTTTTACTAATCATTTTCTCGGAAACATGAAATTAAATTTTGCAAACTCATTTCCAATAGGCCTAAATAGCAACAAATATTTCCAATAAATAAAATCCCATTGAGGTGCACACTCTTCAAACTCTGACAATACAATGAGCATTAGTCTTCAATCCATATAATATTTTTCAATCTTTCTCTTTCAGAGCACATATAGCTGTAATTTTTTTAAAAAAAAGGGAATTTCTTTAGGACTCGAAATTGCATTAGGAAAATTGAAAATATTCAGAACAGAAGTGGAGTAGCTCTTCTCATTCTTTATTGTGGTTTCTATCGAGCCCCTTTTGCATTGTAGAAATTGTGCAGCTATTAGGGACAATATTTTGCATTGAGAAAAATCAAGTATTTGATGAATTTCAAATAAGGAATGGACTGTAGTGGGAAACATATTCCTAACAATTAGAAGTATGGAGAAGACGATGATACTCCAATAGTCCTCAGATTTGAAGCCGAAATCTATGAAAAAAGGCTTTTTATCTATAATCAAAAAAAAAGTTATGACCTTTCAAAGTTTTCCAAAATCTAAATCATAAGGTAGGTACCTTCTTACTAAAATGATGAAATTTCAAATTTTTTTTTTGTCGAGATTTTATATTCTAATGGTCAATCAACATACCCCAAACTCCATACACTAAATTATTCTCAGATTTGAAGCCGAAATCTATGAAAAAAGGCACTCAGAAAAATTGAAAAATTGATAAATAACCCCAAATTGCTTGACACGATTTTATCTCAGGAACTATAAGTGCAAATGAGCTGAAATTTTCAGGAATTGTAGTCCCTTGGAAGGCATAAAATTCAGTGAAAGTTTCAGCTTTTTATCTATAATCAAAAAAAAGTTATGACCTTTCAAAGTTTTCCAAAATCTAAATCATAAGGTAGGTACCTTCTTACTGAATGGATGAAATTTCAATTTTTTTTTTTGTTGAGATTTTGTGTTCTAATGGTCATTTGGGATCCCCCAAACTCCATACACTAAATTATTCTCAGATTTGAAGCCGAAATCTATGAAAAAAGGCACTCAGAAAAATTGAAAAATTGATAAATCACCCCAAATTGCTTGACACGATTTTATCTCAGGAACTATAACTGCAAATGAGCTGAAATTTTCAGGGATTGTAGTCCCTTCATTGAGATAAAATTCAGTGAAAGTTTCAGCTTTCTATCTATAATACAAAAAAAGTTATGACCTTTCAAAGTTTTCCAAAATCTAAATCATAAGGTAGGTACCTTCTTACTAAAACGATGAAATTTCAAATTTTTTTTTGTCGAGATTTTATATCCTAATGGTCAATCAACATACCCCAAACTCCATACACTAAATTATTCTCAGATTTGAAGCCGAAATCTATGAAAAAAGGCACTCAGAAAAATTGAAAAATTGATAAATCACCCCAAATTGCTTGACACGATTTTATCTCAGGAACTATAAGTGCAAATGAGCTGAAATTTTCAGGGATTGTAGTCCCTTCATTGAGATAAAATTCAGTGAAAGTTTCAGCTTTCTATCTATAATACAAAAAAAGTTATGACCTTTCAAAGTTTTCCAAAATCTAAATCATAAGGTAGGTACCTTCTTACTAAAACGATGAAATTTCAAATTTTTTTTTGTCGAGATTTTATATCCTAATGGTCAATCAACATACCCCAAACTCCATACACTAAATTATTCTCAGATTTGAAGCCGAAATCTATGAAAAAAGGCACTCAGAAAAATTGAAAAATTGATAAATCACCCCAAATTGCTTGACACGATTTTATCTCAGGAACTATAAGTGCAAATGAGCTGAAATTTTCAGGAATTGTAGTCCCTTGGAAGGCATAAAATTCAGTGAAAGTTTCAGCTTTTTATCTATAATCAAAAAAAAGTTATGACCTTTCAAAGTTTTCCAAAATCTAAATCATAAGGTAGGTACCTTCTTACTAAAATGATGAAATTTCAAATTTTTTTTTTGTCGAGATTTTATATTCTAATGGTCAATCAACATACCCCAAACTCCATACACTAAATTATTCTCAGATTTGAAGCCGAAATCTATGAAAAAAGGCACTCAGAAAAATTGAAAAATTGATAAATAACCCCAAATTGCTTGACACGATTTTATCTCAGGAACTATAAGTGCAAATGAGCTGAAATTTTCAGGAATTGTAGTCCCTTGGAAGGCATAAAATTCAGTGAAAGTTTCAGCTTTTTATCTATAATCAAAAAAAAGTTATGACCTTTCAAAGTTTTCCAAAATCTAAATCATAAGGTAGGTACCTTCTTACTGAATGGATGAAATTTCAATTTTTTTTTTTATTGAGATTTTGTGTCCTAATGGTCATTTGGGATCCCCCAAACTCCATACACTAAATTATTCTCAGATTTGAAGCCGAAATCTATGAAAAAAGACACTCAGAAAAATTGAAAAATTGATAAATCACCCCAAATTGCTTGACACGATTTTATCTCAGGAACTATAACTGCAAATGAGCTGAAATTTTCAGGGATTGTAGTCCCTTCATTGAGATAAAATTCAGTGAAAGTTTCAGCTTTCTATCTATAATACAAAAAAAGTTATGACCTTTCAAAGTTTTCCAAAATCTAAATCATAAGGTAGGTACCTTCTTACTAAAACGATGAAATTTCAAATTTTTTTTTGTCGAGATTTTATATCCTAATGGTCAATCAACATACCCCAAACTCCATACACTAAATTATTCTCAGATTTGAAGCCGAAATCTATGAAAAAAGGCACTCAGAAAAATTGAAAAATTGATAAATCACCCCAAATTGCTTGACACGATTTTATCTCAGGAACTATAAGTGCAAATGAGCTGAAATTTTCAGGGATTGTAGTCCCTTCATTGAGATAAAATTCAGTGAAAGTTTCAGCTTTCTATCTATAATACAAAAAAAGTTATGACCTTTCAAAGTTTTCCAAAATCTAAATCATAAGGTAGGTACCTTCTTACTAAAACGATGAAATTTCAAATTTTTTTTTGTCGAGATTTTATATCCTAATGGT